ATGGGACAGCACCCGGGCAGGGCAGGTGTCACTGTCAGGTTTCTGGGCACCAGCTGTTGAAGAACCTGTGTTGTCACTCCCTCTGCGGAATGTAAACCTATCCTCCCCCTCCTTGTTGCTCATCTGAGAACTACCAAACAATGATCCTGAACCCCGGAGGTCCAGAATCTTAAAAATGTCCTCTGACAATGTCCCGCTCTTCTCCTCCTCCTGGATGCGACTCCACCGGTTGAGAGCATCAGCCTTAGCTACCATCCCTGAGAGAGGGCAATTGAAAGTGGGCAGGGTCTGGGTGCGTTTGCGAGGACTTTCAAACAAGCCATCTGGGGAAAGTGAGAAAGGCTCTGGAAGGATGGTTTGGGGGCTGCAGTTCTCTCTGTTAGGTCCTAGACTGTCAAAGTCCTCTTCTTCTTCTGGAGACTCGGATAAAGACGCATCAGCCATCTGACATGAACACAGATATATACAATACATGAACATCTGTATGTGCAGAGATGGTTTTAGAGTTAGAGAGAAGAAACTGAGGCAGAAATACCATAAATTTCAGTGAACAAAAGACAACTATTCATCAAACAAAAAGAAAAAACAAACAGTACCAACTTATTTGACTCTGGACAATGGGGGACAAAATGCCAAGACATTAGGATTTGATTATGGAATAGTCACATGTATTTGTATTTTGTTTACACCCAAATACACCGAGCTAAAACTAATACAGTCTAATCCAGCAGTCCTGCAACAAACCCTCCCTTCTTGAAAGTGGTAATGCTTTTGTATATTGGTCTATATGGTCATTTTAGAAGCTGCACTTTGTGCCGGTGTTACACTGTACTGTGTTATGTTGTCCACCCCATTGATATCAATGAAGCTAGGCAAAATAACAGAAACAGCTCTAATGCAGTAAATACAGCACAGTGTAACAGCAGCACAAACTGTAGCCCCCAGACCGATCATACAGTTGTATCACCATCTCTCTGAAACAGTTGGAGCCAAAACTGAATATCATCATCTTCATGAAGAGAGGATTTATTACAGGACTGTTGGATTAGACTGGATTAGTTTTAGCCAGGTGTACCTGATAAACTGGCCAGTGAGAGAGTATATCGTAAATGTCTTCTCTGTTTAAAATGTATCTGCTGGTGGTTTAGTTTAGAGCTGGGTGTTCAGCTAACAGCCATTTTTTTCACCACTTCCCTTTTCACTAAACCTCATTCAAACATAACAGGAATAGGCTGACATGTTAGGGAGTTAGTTACAGTAAATGATGCAGTTGGAGTCAGCACCATGTTGGCTTAGCTCAGGATAAAGCCTGGAAACAGGGGGGAAACAGCCTGGCTCTCTCCAGCCATAACAAAATCTGCCAAGCACCTCTAAAGCTCAATGATCAACATGTTTCACCTAGGTTGTAAAGTGAAAAAAATCCAGTTTGCCATTTTATGGCAGGATCTTGTTACCTGTTGTTGTCTTTGGACAGGGTTTAGCTTGGCAGTGGTATCAATCTTAAATCTCAGGACTGATGTAAATAAGCATATTTACAGTAGCTTTATGCGTTTGAAAACTTGTCAACTTTATCACCAAATTTCACAACTGTCTCTGGCTGTGGTGTTTAATCCACACATTCTGCCAAATGGAGTTACATAACTAGCTTTTACACAGATGGCGACTACTTCCTACCAGTGTTCTGGTACAGTATGTGTTTTTCCTCTGGCCAGAAAAGGGCACATTAATCTGAATGAGTGTTAAGCAGCTCGAACCTCTGCAGACTCCCAGCCCACGAAGCTTCGGGGGGTGTTCTTCTGGGTCTCAGTCTTGTTTGAGGGAAAGGAGTGAAGCACGTCTTTGGAGAGAGGAAACAGGGTCTCATGCTGTCTGATCATCACGGTCATCAGCTTCTGGATCTGAGGTGTTGCTGTGAAGAAAAGCAAACATGTATGTGAAAAGATTATGATCAAAATATGGTCTCTTGAGTTGAATTACCGTTATATTTTTATTGTACTTTTTGTATACTCAGATACTGTAGCAGGTTTATGGAGCTGATGAAGTCGTACAGGGTTTAGCCATTTAAAACCACACATCACAGGGGTATCTAAAGAAACATTAATGAGACATGTCTTTCTAAGTAGTCAGGCCTTTCTGTTAAAGGCTGCTTTGTTTCATTGAATACAATTTATAAAAAAAAAAAAAAAGAGAGAGAGAAGGATGTAGTTATGCTCCAGTATTGCCACATGTCATTGTTTTAAAAGTAGGTAGGCAGGAAACATCAGTGAGTGATGTGTTCCCACCCTTCATCACGGTGATGGGGTCTTCTATTTGAGGTTTTAGCAGGTTGATTCCCATCACTGTAGCCAGGTTCTCCACATTCATCTTATTCAGGTTGGAATGCTGCTGCACCTCAAACAAAAACCTGCAGCAAACCGGAGACATGATTACCATAGTGATATACAGGTCAGTGTGGGTCTGGACTGGAGACTGATCTCAGGACAGCATTTGGCTCATTTTTTAACCAGAAGTTCTTTGTGAGATTTGATGATTTTTGCTCAGTGAGCAATTATCTTTCAGTGTCCCATAACGCTTTGTGCTGCAGCTTCTACTCACCGGCAGATGTAACTAAGAAGGTTGTAGTTGATTCTGGGGAGAAGAGCAATTTGCTTCTCCAGCTTTTCCCAACCCTGAAAGAACACGCATGCAAGAGATTAAAGGACACAAACTTAAAAATAAAAATCACAGTGCACACATACACAAAGTATGCCTACACTCAGAGGAAAATATACAGTATTGTAGTCTTTTATAAATAAGCATGCCTCTGTGCTGCTGCTGTCCAGCTGGTTGGTGCAGTCCAGGAAGTTTTGGTACTGAGTCCAGGGCACCACAGGCTCTGGCAGCTCCCTCAGGTACAGTTTGAGCAGTGATGCCACCGTGTGGACATCTGTGTCACTGCAAGCAATGGCACATCTCAATTAATATCAACATAGAGTATGACTGGCATTTAGTGTTGGACCAGTGTATATGTTTTCCATTCCGGTGAGTCAGTACTGGCTGCATGAACTAACATATATTTGATAAAAATTGCATATGAGGCCTTTTGACCTGGTGTAAATCTAATACAATGTTACCTGGATTCTACAATTCTCACACATGCATATATAAGTGGCAGTTACAGTTTTAATATCTTGTGTTTTTATTAACTGTTTGTTCCAAGTGTCCATGAACTTAGAATTGTTTTCCATCATGGGAAAGTATATAAAATATGTAAATGTTTACTGGTCTCCTAAAAAGCACTTACATGATGGGATATAGTGTAAACACCATCGCTTTTTTTAGGTAACATCTTTTACATGTAAATATTCACTGGCGAAGACCAAGTCCTCTATGAATTCGCTGTTTGGTCCTCTGGGTGTAACTTTGTATATTAGCTAGTGTAGCTGGCTCAGATTCAATTTAGTCGATTAGACTCTGCAAGGAATACATTTAGAGGGCAAAACAAACTCTTGTATTCTTTGTTTTATTTTTGGCCTGACAGTTGACATGGACCATGCTTCCCTTTGCTGGATGTGCTCTCTGATGCTGACATTAGATTGCAGACACACGAGTCAGGTGAAACGGAAGATTTTACAGTTCTCTATCAGAAGAGCTTTTGATGTTATAGTATGATGAGTAATAGAGGCACAGTCCCATGTGCCTGCCAGAACAGGATGTGGTATTACCTTCAGCTCTGAGCGTCTCTCTCATTTCTCTTTGCTTTCTCAGTAAAAGAAGCTGATGCTGCTGCTTGACTGAGGACAATTTCTCCTTATAAAGCAGTGACCTTGTTAACCTTGTACGTTTAGCAGCCAGGTTTAACGAGAGCTTGAAATAATTTCTAAGAACATTTACAGCTGCTGTAGTGTTTCTTGTCTATTTTAGTAACACATGCCGCACATACAATCATGGTAAAGCAAAAATACACCCTCCTTCAATTTTATGTTTTTATTCATCAGGGGCTAAAAACAGTTGTATGGACCTAAAATAATAATCAGGTGACAACTAAAAGCACAACAGATTTCAGTATGTGGTTACTGTCTCCCAAACGTAAACCAACACTCATAAACTAGGTTGGTAAAAAAGTACCACCTATAATTCAGTAACATGCAGAACCACCTTTAGCAACAATAACTCGAAGTAAATGTTTTAGGAGTTTTAGGAGTTTATCAGCCCCTCACATCATTTTGGAGAAATATTAGCCCACTCTTCTCTACAACATTACTTCAGATCAGTGATGTTTGAGGGCACTCATTTATGCACAGCTCTCTTAAGATCCGGGGTTGAGGTCTGGACTTTCCATTTCCAGCCATTCCAACAAAGTGATTTTGTTCTTCTTTAACTATTCAGATGTCAATCTGCTGGCTTGCTTGGGATCATTGTCATGTTGGATGACCCAATCTCGGCCCAGCTTAAGCTGCTGGACATGTTATTTCATTTGTTCATAGAGGTTGGTGAGGTCCAGAGAACTGTGTTTAGCCCCTGATGAATAACAACACAAGTGAAGGAGGATGTACTTTCTTTTTACCATGACTATATGCACAATACCAGTACTACAGAAGCATACCCCTATGGAATTAGATCCACATGTAGTCTTAGAATCAGTTCAGGATAAATAAACACTCAGTAAACAATCAGTCTGTACAGAGCTCTGATTGTGTTACCTGGGGAAGGAGGGCCTTTCTCCTGCATCAAAGGCATCTCGGAACTGTTTTACGGCATTGTCCTGCCCTGGGAGGCGAAAGATGCCCTCCTCATTCAGCCCATGTTCTTTAATGAACTCCACACACTTCTGCACCAGAATGGGCACCATGTGAGGCCCAAAACGTTGCTCATATGTTACAGTGTCCATGAGACTTTTTCCAAACACTGCAGAAATGCAGAGAGGTATTACTGTGGTTCTGTCCACTAATGCATGTACAGTAAAATCAGAAAACATTACACATTCTTATAGACACAGCTTTTAGTGCTTTTATGAGTCTTAATAAGGGGAAGATGGTGGTGCATGAGGCAATGTTCAACATCTGGGGTAATGCACTTATTCACTTCCTTGCTGAGAGTTAGATGCTATCACTTTCATGTTTGGCTATGGCCAGGAGGTGGGAACTTTATCTTAGCATAAAGCCTGGAAATGGGAAAAATCTGCTAGTCTAGGACAATGTCTCAGCTAGGAGCACTAACTTCTTGAAGCCTTGTCATCACCATGAAGTTGCAAAGACTCCAGGAAGTCACTGCTCCCAGCAACAAAAATAGAATGTATGTAATTCTCTAAAGAGAGGTACTGTTTTTGTACAGAATAAATAAGACAAACCGTGTTGATTAGCGAATTTAAAAGGTGCTGGCAGGTGGGTTTCAGACAGAGCCAGCTGCTCCCCTCTGTTTCCAGTCTTTATGCTTGGCCAAGCTAACTTTGTCATGGCTGTAGCTTCATGATAGTCAAATATGAGAACAGCGACATTTTTTTTTACCTTTGACAAGAAAGTGCATAAGCAAATATCCCAAAATGTTATAAAAACACTTGACCTGAAGACACATTTATATTTTAGTGGCCCTGACTCAACAAGAAGTGTACAAAGAATATATAAACGCTACCTTTCTGTTGCAGCACTAGTTACACTGTCACACATAGTGTCAGTTTCCATGGCTGTGAGTTATTTGCTTTTTATTAAATGATGTCTGGTTTGGGAATTGACAGCCATGGAAACATTTCATGTGTCACACTGTGCAAAACAGAAAGAGGAAAAACAGACAGCTTTGATGACATGTTTGAGATTTCACTGAACCTCCACTTGTTGGTACTCCGATGACCCTGCGGAGAGTGCGAACCCACTCCTCCATGTCACTCTGGGAGTTTGCCATGAGCACATACGGATATCGCACTCTGTCTCCAGTTGTACCTGTGAAATGAAGAGTTTTACTGAAAAACAGGATCTCAGGATTAAAAAAAAACCTTAAGATATGCCGGTAAGAAGATTTCCAGAGTAGATTTGTCTTGCTATCATTTCACTTCTTATTATACAGATAAGTTTTATACAGATAGGTTTTGTCTCAAACAGACAAAAAGGGACATGTAACCCAGTTTGGAAATGGAACCATAATTTAAACACCCTGACACACAGGAAATATTATGGGGTTTTTTTTCCTAATGAAAAAAAGACAAAGATGACACAATGAATGAAATGAGGGCCATGAAGGAACAAAGACAGTGCTGATACTACATCAGAATCAGAATCAGCTTTATTGGCCAGGTGTGTTGGACACAAGGAATTCGACTCTGGAACAGCGGCTGTCAATATGTTTGTACATATCTACATAAATCGCTCATAGGTGCCGCAATAAATAAGCCATGCAAGGCCTAAAGTCAGTATTGCCCCCTTTCACAGTTTGATTACTTACGTGGTATGATCTCAAAGAGGTACTTCCCCGGGTCATCAGAATTTGGAGGCATTTCATTAACTTTACTGAACCGCAGCTGAATGACTCCCTGAACAGGACCAAAGACACCCAGAGAGAAAAGAAATGTAATGTAATAACTATATAAGAAATTTGTTATGTCAAGAAGCAACCATTAATATTTACGCCAGTGTTTCCATTCATTCACAGACTACCATATGCTATTTTTAACCAGTCATGTAGTCTATACCTTGTAAAGGCAATAAAGGTCGCAGCAGATATTTCTGTTTATTTTAATGTGGCAAAATTGTGTCACAAGGGCTTTTGCAAGTGAAAATGGTCTCTTGCTAATCTATTATCATTTGGCTTAGGGTCTAGTCATTGTTTACTGCTCACATTACAGCATGCAGTGCAGTGTACTTTCCAGGTCACTATGTGTTCAGCGCTTTTCCTCTGTCTTCCATTCCCTACCCACCGTCTCACTCAGCTGTTAATGTTTTTACACTGAGATCAAAAGGGGAAATAACTTTTAGGTTTTTGAAGCAATTTTCAGTTTTTTGAATTCAATTCTATGGTTTTGTTAGCACGAAGTGACCGTATCACATTTTATTCCTAAGGATATAAAACACTCAAAAAATTCAAGGCCTCTGCTCTCTGCTTAGACAGTTATAGCACAGCAAGGCTTTTTACGTTACTGAATGTGTAGTCACCCCTGAAATTCCACTGAGTAATGACACTGTTACTGTCCTGATCTCATAGTGTTTGTCAAACATAGACAGCTCTACAGCAGGTTAACAAAGAGTACAGTCTTGACTGGATGGTTGATGAATATTACATTTATGAGTGTAAACCAGTGGACTATAACATAAGTCATTTTAAAAAAGACTTTAAATGGTAGGAGAGCGTCTTGTGCAGCTTCATGCATCATTTGTTTACAGGAAGTTTGCAGTTAGCCACACTGATAGCTAGTGTGTTTGTGGTGTTGATTGGAAATGATAAATGACAAGTCTTATTAACCTGTGTATAAGTCAATGAATATACCAGATTTCACATTACTGTTGTAGTTAGATTGTGTTGGTTTTATTACTGAACACCACCTTATGTTGTAGAACATCAGTAGAGATATCCTCGCATATAAAAATGAATGTGCCAATATCAACATCTTACTGCGGTCTCTTCATTTTCAAATACATGCACATGTTTTATGCCAACAAAAAGAAGACAAAAATGATATTACAATAACAGGACTGATAAAGGCTACACAATATTCCCAGTGTTTCACCTGGACAGTGGTCTCCTTGTCATCTTTGTGGTAGGTCAGTGTGCTTCCTCTCAGCACAAAGTAGCGCTGTTGCCAGTTCTTGACTAAAGACCTCTGTTGTTTCTTGAGCCAGCCGGCCTTCAGTGGCCTCTCCATGGACCTGGAGGAGTGTGGCAAGCCCAGGCCGGGGCCTCCCTCTCCAGGTGTCACACTCTTGGATCGTGCTGCCAAACACCAAAAGAAAGCTGTTGGTAAAACTATTAAGAACAATCCCCAGCCTGCTGTATCACAGCACAAGCTATGAAACATTTACCAAAACATCAGTGCTACCCAACTGCAGCAGAGCACTTCCTCTTTTCTGTATGAGCATGTATCAGCCTATCAGGGTTGAGAGACCTGCTTAATGTAACCTATTTTGTTCCCCACCTATACACATTCAAGCTGAAAGGAAGCTGCTGGTCTGCCCCAACCAATTTCCTGTGGAATGTGCATGAATGCAGCTGTGATTATTCGACATAAATAGCACAGTGATCTGCTACAGAGTGACCATAAAACATTATGCTAAAATGGTAGAAGGCAGAAAGGTCAGATCAAGTTCTGCCTAGAGTCTAACTTGAACTGAAACTAACACAAATAAATGTCATTCCATTTTGAAGTCATTTGAAGAATGTCACCCTTGACTGACACTTGTCACCCTGGAGCTCTGTGACTGTGAGAGGTCATGATGAGGCAGAGCGGTACAAGGCCCAAAGAAGACAGGGTCAGACTGAGACAGCCTGAGTAACATGCAGGGTGGTAGGACTGCAGAGACAGCCAGAATGAGATTTAGCCCTCTTGCTCAATTGTTCTTAAATTCACTGTGACTTGTTAAACAAGATGATAGAGGAGAAGAGAAGAAGAAGGGCCGCACTGGGGTAAAAAGGAGGGTACCATATAATTGCTGGAGAGTGTGAGACACTTTGAAGGCCTCCACCTAGAAGCTTCAGAATCATTTGTTCTAACTTTAATCATCCTTCCTGTACATGCCATGACTATGCACTACTCATAATTTATACCAAGTTCAAGATTTGTACTGTGAAATACATTGTGATCAGGTAGCAGTCAGATATACACTCACCAGCCACTTTATTAGGTACACCTGTACAATTGTGTGCAATGCAACACTTCCACCTTAACATCTCTGTGTTTATGAAGCTCAAAATGTTTCAGTACAACGCCACCTACATCTACGACCTCAATAATAAACATATAATTGGATTTTTAAATTTGTGACAATTTCACCGAAAACTGAAACATTCTGAGCTTCATAGACACAGATGTTAAGGTGGAAGTGCTGTACTTAAGTGCATACAGTTGTACAGGTGTACCTAATAAAGTGACAAGTGAGGATAAGTTATTGAAAATAAATCTTTGGTCACAAAAGAATGGTTCAGCATGTTGGGAAATATGCTCACTGGCTTACTTGTGTGGAGTGAGATGACAAAATTGACACCACTGTCAAGAGATGTTCCCAAACACTCAACTGCTGCCATATTTAGGTTTGGCTACCTGGGTAATAATTAGCATAGACAGTTTGACAAGAAATGACACCATCTTGACGCAAACTGAGACACTTTTGGTCAAAAATAAAGTGAACGTCTGCCTGACAGACGACCTCATACATGAAGCCAATGTGGAAGTGCCCAAACCTGCAGTTCCTTGAATGGCCATTTGAACCTGGCTCCAAGAGGAAGTCGGTCCCCATAGGTATGGCGACGGCCAGACTTGAGCTTCAAAACTGCTCTTCAGAAAACCAGTGGGTGATGTCACGGTGGCTTTAATATACAGTCAGTGGCTTTGACCTTCAAACAGAGCCAGGTTAGCTATTTCTCCCTGTGTTCAGGTATGCTAAGTGAAGCTAACTGACTGCTAGCTGTAGCTATTTAATGTATCTCGTAACTCAGTACCTCCAAATCGCACTAAGAAATAATCCAGAATATGACTGCTCTTAAAACAAAATTCCAAAACTCACTTTTACACTTAGATTTTTATGCAGATCAAACAAATAGGATATACTGTACACAGTGTGCACAATTATTAGTCAAGTTGTATGCCTGAGGATTAATTTTATTGTTGAACAAATACAGTACTCTCATCCATCCATCCATTTTCTATACCGCTTAGTCCCAAACGGGGTCACGAGGGGCTGGAGCCAATCTCAGCCAGCTGTGGGCGAGAGGCGGGGTACACTCTGGACAGGTCTCCAGTCCATCGCAGGGCTTACAGTACTCTCAGTCAACCCAAAATGTTAATAAACCTCAAACCTGGATGTTTAACGAAAAAGTGAGGTTTGCCTTTCTCAGTGGAACATATGTGTGCACAATTATTAGTCAACTATTTTTGTGCAGAATTATTATGTAACTAAATGAAAAACAAATTGTTTCCCACCTCACTTGTTTAATTTCAGTTCTAAGAGTAACTATAACAAACAACTCAAAATTAGCAAATACCTTTGCCATTTCAAAAATATTCTGCGACCAATAGCCATCCTTATTTTCAATAATTGCCATGAGCCGTCCATCCATGGACTCTGTCAGTTTCTTGATCTTTTGATGATCAGCATTTGCTGCTGCAGCAACCACAGCCTCTCAAATGTTATTTAAAGAGGTGTACTGTATTTTCTTCCCTCACTGGCATCGTCCTGCATAGAAACCATGGCCTTCTTCCTAGACTTCTTCCTATACTAGTGCTTGAAGAAAGTCTCTTCTAAAGACTGGCAGTAGGTTTGGGAGTTGTTCTTCAACCAGAACAGGTCAAACTAGCTCCTCAATAATAGCAGCCCATATCAGTAACCCTCCTCCACTTTGCTAGAATCTGAGTTGAAGTGGTGCCATGTGTTCATTAGTGATCCAGCCATCTGGCCCATCAAGAGTCACTATCATTTCATTTGTCCATAAAACCTTTGAAAAATTTGCCTTCGGAGATTTCTTGCTCCAGTCTTCATGTTTCAACTTGTGAATCTTGTTCGGTGGTGGTTAGGTTTCAGCCTGCTTTACCTTGGCCATATCTCTGAGCACTGAACACCTTATACTTCTGGACACACCAGTTAGGCTGGAGTTCTGGAATATGGTGGCACTGAAGGATAATGGGTTCCTGGTAACTTCACATTTAATTATTCTCAAGTTTTTAGCAGCTAATTTGCATCTGTTCATCTCCACACATTTTTTTATGACCCTGTTGACTATTTGCAACAAAGCTTTTAATAGTCCGGTGATCACACTTCAGTAGTTAAGCTATGTAAAAAGTGTTGCATCCCTCTGGACGGCATTTTTGACTTTTACATGTCACTTTAATCTCTTTTTGGCCCATTTTACCTAATAATTATGCACACCTTGATAAAGGGTGTTAATCACTTTAGGCCACGCCCTCCCTCATTACACAAATACATATCTTGTATTAATAGTTTTACCAACAGCTTGTACAATGCTTAAATCCAATTAGCATTCAAGTTGATATAGCTTGGAGCTTAAAAAAAGCATGCACAGAAATAACAATGTGGTCAGAATACACATTTGCCCAATACTTGTGCATGCAGTGTAATGTTACTTAGGGGGCTATGGGTGTATGTTTGGACAGTAGCCTGGCTAACTGTTCAGCATAAAGCAGCAAATAAATTCTTTGTTGGCATCTTTTCAAATATTTATAAGGACATGTGCATGCACAAGCATGCACTGAGCATGCATTATATACACAGCCACATACTACACAGTTACAAAGAGCCAGCCATAAAGTTAGAGTGCTGCACAAACTGAGCTCTTGCATCAGTTTCCT